TAAAAACACTCAGTGCTGGAAGGAGCCTCTGAGATCATCAGATGGAGAGAAGTTCCCATTTCTATCAGAAACAGCACTCTCTTCTGTTGACAAGAATTTATGACAGTCTTTTTTATTCTCCTGAAATAAAATTGATAATATAATCCACCTACACACATGCTTTCAGAATAAATTAGTGATAAAATGTCTTAACTCTAACTATAGTATAAAAGAATCATAAGATAAAATGTTTAACTCAATAATGATATGAGTTTCAATACATAAAGGCTGTGATGTTAGGACTCAGGCATTTGTTCGTACTTTTAATGCATAAGTTTGGATAGGAAGTTACTATAAAACTGAATGTGTATTTAACATTTTCATTCGTCATAGTTGACATTACTTTCCACAATGGTAAGGAATGCTTGGTAATGCTCTTACCTGAGGGTTGGGGAGCAAGAATACAAGTAGTCCTAGGCCGGAGGCTTCTCCCAGCAGGTATTAATTCCCCCAAATCTTAGCTGTACCTCCCATCCAGAAGAAATCCCCCAAGCACACAGGCATATAGATGCCGGCCACTGGAAGTTGTCCTCACACACCAACCATTTTTGCACCAAGGACCAGTTTCATGGAACACAAATTTTCTATAACCCAGGGGTGGGGGGTGGTTTGGAGATGATATAGGTGCATTACATTTATTGTGCACTTTATTTCTGTGATTCTGTTATTACTACATAATTACACAACTCTGCTAATGCAGAATCAGTGGGAGCCCTGGGTTTGTTTTCCTGCAACTAAATGGTCCCATCTGAGGGTGATGGAAGACCCCTGAAATGTGTTGCCATTATAGAGCCTGCCACCAGATTCAGCCTGATTGGCACTTGCCACTCACTTGTAGGGCTTTGATTTGAGTCTGTATTATGGTCTCTGTGCAGTCAAGCTTCTCTGCTAATGATATTCTATATTTGCAGCCTCACCCCAGAGCTAGCATCCCTACCTCAGTTTCACCTCAGAGCATCAGGCATTAGATTCTCACAAGGAGCACACAACCTAGATTCCTTGGATATACAGCTTACAGTGGAGTTTGTGCTCCTGTGAGAATCTAATGCCGCCACTGATCTGATGGGAGGTGGAGTTCAGGCAGTGACGGCAGCGATGGGGAACAGCTGTAAATACAGATGAAGCTCTGCTTGCTCACCTGCCACTCACCTCCTGTGTGTGGCCCAGTTCCTAACAGGCCAGGGACCAATACCTGTGCACAGCACAGGGGTCAGGGATCACAGTCTAAGGGACAGGGACAGCACAGCCAGCAACTGCTACAATCCAGGTGGTAGATCAAAGGTGTCCAGGAGGCTGGGGAATGGGGAGCTGGCATCAGGAAGTGGCAAGAAGATCCCCCCCAAAACAAGCCAGAGTTGGGGATCCTTTTTTTAAGGCTTTGCAATGGTGGATTCCCAGGTCAGGGGTGCCAGAGCCAGCTGCTGAGGGTTCTCAGGCTGTAGCTCCTCTTCCCATGAGCCCTGCTCACACTCTGGGTTCTGCACAGCCCCTGCCCCCACGGTCGGTGTAAGGCTTTAGTGCAGATTCTCTGAACATAACCATGTAGCTTAGTATCCTTCTTTCCTTGTTTCCATGGGTGACTTTCACGCCTCACTATTAACTGGAAAACCTTTCTGCTCCGTACAACCATGCAGCCTGTTTCTAGGGTCTTGTGTCTGGAAGCCACATCATCCTCATCATCAAAAATCAACCATTAGGAAGAGGATTACGGACACTTTATAGAGAAGGTACTTTATTTTACCCATCATCCAAAGCCCTTTCTGCAATGTAAACCCAGGTTAATATTCACGGCAACCTCATGAAATAGGTAGTTTGTTAGGTGCATGTTATAGATGAGGAAACTGAAGCACCAAGAGGTTAAGTGATTTGCCTGAGGCACACGGCAAGTGGCAGAGCCCAGAATGGAACCCAGGCAGTGCAGATCAATGGCCCAGCTCAGCCACACTGCCTGCCAACCTTTGCTGGACGCCTCTAACCACTCAGCAATACTGCCTTTCATGGAAACTGGTAAAGTGATAACCTGGCACTAAACCTCAACCTCTTGAACCTGAAGGATACTCTTGCTTTATTGTCACTCTCAGCCTCTGCCCCAGTAGAAGAAAAATCTTGAGTCTAGGTTGGTGCTAGCTTTTGGAGTTAGACAGCTCCAGTGTCCCAGCTCTGTTCTTGGCTTCGTGACCTCAGCCATTGGCTTGTCTTCTGTGATCTCGAAGGATTGTATGGGACGATTTGCAGACAGCAAGCTCTGCTTGACACAGACAGTGTGTGGGTTTGAGACTTTGGACAGAGTCACTTGCACATCAGTGACTGGCTGGGGCTGCCGTGGATCCCACCTCCAGAATCAACCCAGCTCCAGGCCCCGGGCCTGCACCTAGCCTTGGGGAGGGGAGCGTGCTGAGCCATTAGCCCCCAGAGCTAGCCTGGAGAACATCCCAGCCTTAGCTGAGATCAGGCGCAGACAGCTCCTGGTCCAGAGCAGGGACGCAGCAGATGACCAAGAACAGTAGTTACTGCCTGCACCACCAGCAGCAGCAGGTCACCAACCACAGCTCCAACAGCCAACAAGTGCAGAGAAATGGGGTTTGGGGACAGACCTGAATTTGAGTCCTGGTCCCACTGCTTAAAACCTACATCACTTGGGGCAATTACTTGAACTCTCTGGCCTTCAGTGTCTCTTTCTCTGCAAATGAGGATCCTTATTACCCGTCTGTAGATTAGGGATGAAACCATGAAACACCCAGAAATGAGTTTTGGGCTCACAGTGACTCTGCAGAGTATTTATCATCACCATCATCACTGCTGCCGCTGATGCCACTGTTGCTATTTTCTTTCTACCATGTTTCTCTGGTGACTCCCTGTCCCTGCTGGATACGTCAGTGTGCCTGGGGCTTGGGAACACATATTCTAGAGTCAGTACTCAGGGCTCAAGTCTCATCTCCACCATTTCCTACCTCTGTGGCCCTAGGCAGGTGATGCTGACTTTCTGAGTCTCAGTGTCCTCATCTATGAAATAGGATGAATAACCTTGTTCATGTCCCAATCACATTCAGAGGATTCAGTGAGATAGTGGGTCCTAAAAGCCTTTGGCACTCAGTAAGCACGAGTAAGAAGCATGACAAGGGCTTTCCTTGTAAAGGGAGGAAGGGGTGGGTCCTAGGAGGAGGAAGAGATGGGAGGGGTGCTGCCATCCCCGCACAGAGGGAACCCAACCCCCACCTTCTGTCTCTTTATGGGGCTCCCCTGTCCTGTCGGAGCCCACCAAGCTGTCTCAGACATGCCAAAGTAAAAAGTCAAGGTGATTTTGTGTATATGTTTTTAAAACATGCAGGTTGAAGTAACTGAAAACTGAAAACCATATCCTCCTCAGCACCTCCCTGAGGCTCCTGTAGGCCTCCCACACACCAGCTGCAGCAGCCTCTGGGAGGCTGCAGGTGGCTGAGACAGGCTCTGGGGATGACAGTGTCAGGGAAAGTATGCAGGCTTGGAGGTGGGAGGGGTGAAGGCCAATCCCAGGCCTGCCTGCCTGCATAAAGTGCACTCTTAGCTGACTGTCAGGTGGGACACCCCTTCTATTCCCATTTGGGGACAGAAGAGACTCATCTGTGCCTGGCACCACCCCAATGTCCCTGCTTACCTCCCCGGCAACCCCTACTCCCAGGTGAAATCACAAAGGTTCAGAGCAGTGGTCAGTGGTAAGAAGCGGAATGGAGACTCACACACCCCTAGTCAAGGCTACAGAAGACCTCTAGGTGGGGGAACAGAGGTAATGAGGAAGAGAAGGCTCTGGTGGACCACACAGGCTCGGCTCACCCAGGTCTCTCTCCCACTGTCCACCATCTCCAGCTGCATTCTCTGCACCCCAGATGGAGAGATCCTATTAGACCCCAAGGCAGAGCACTGCTTGCCTCGCTCAAACACTCTATGGCTCCCACCTCCTCTGGAGAAGACCAGAATCCATCTTGGGTGTGAAAAGGCCGAAATGAGCTGACCCACTTTCTCTGACTCTCTGTCCCCACTCAATTTCAGACCCACGAGTCTGACTGCTGTTTCTTCATCAGCCAAGCACACTCCCAGTTAGGACCTTCACACCTGTCATTCCTATGCTGGGAATGTTCTCACAGTTCATTCAGGTCTCAACTCAAATGTCGCCTCCTCAGAGCAGAGTTTCCTGACCTCCACCCACATCACCTCTATCTTTTCACACCACTTTACTTCCTAACACTTACCATCTCTCAACATTAATATGCAAAATATACTTGTTTATTTGTCCTCTTTCTTTCTCATAGAAGGCAAGAAAACTTTGTGCTGTGAACAGGGCATGGTGTTTGCTGAATAAATTAATGACAACAGACACTGACCCATAGAGAGATGGAGGGGGAAATTATGGGTAGATGGAAGGATGAGAGAAAGGAAGGACAAAGAGAAGAATGTCTGGACGGGAGGGGGATAGGATGGATGGTTCTCTGGGCAGGCGGCTGATGAAATGAACGGATGGAAGGATGGGTAGAGAGATGGGTAGGAGGAAGGAAGGGTGGATGGATCAATGGAAAGGAAACATAGAAAGAAGTAAGGGAAGAATATAATCCGGACGGCTGGATGAGTAGATAGATGGATGTGTGGGTGAGTAGTTGGAAGGAAATATAGATGAATTAATGGAAAGAAGAAAATGTAGAAAGATGAAACAATGAATAGATGAATACGCAGGTGGGTAGGTGGGTGAATGGGTGGTAGGATGGAAGGCTGGACAGAAGGATTGACGGACATTCAGAGGGAGACACATGGGTAGACGAACACAAGATCACGTCGAGAGGTGCACGTGGTTCTGCCTGAAAGGAGAGCCTAGGATAGGGGCACAGCTCACAGCTCTTTCCTCGGGGGTCTCAGAACCCTCCATCCCCAGCCTCCCTCAGCCTGCCCCTCCCACAGGCCCTGCCCCAACACTTCAGGCAGTGATGCAGAGGAACATGGCAGGTGGGAGACCGGCCCCAGGCTTTATTGAGCAGATTCCGGGGAAGGGTGGATAGGCAGCCCCTTTCCCCAGCCCTGGAGCCTCCTCTTCTTGCCCTTGCTGCCCCCTAGGGCAGGCGTAGGCCACTGAGGTCGGGGTGCCCTTCAGCTGCTGAGGAAGCAGCCCCGCTTGTGCCACTTCTGGTCACGGATGCGGCGCACAGACTGCAGCTGCGGCTGGTTGGCGTCCCACTCGTTCCAGTGCCGGTACTCACCCTGCTCGAACACGTACTGGCGCCCACGGTAGCCGGGGAACTCATAGCCGACCCACCTGCCAGGGAGACCAAAAGGTTGGGTGCATGTCCCAAGCCAGACCAGGCCTTTTAATAAAGCCAGCACCTGATCGTGCACCTCAGCTGCCTAAATTCCTCACTGGCTCCCCAGTACCCCCAGGATAAATCTAACCTCTTTACCCTGCCCACATGACCCTTCACAAAACATCTCTAGCTTCCTGTCTCCACTCTATACCCCAATGTCCCTGTTAGTCCACTTTCCTCAAACTTGCCATGTCTCTGAGCCCTTGTGCATGCTGTTCCTCCTGGAGCATTCTTGCTGTTCCTCCTGCAGCATTCATGCTGTTCCTCCTGCAGCATTCTTCCTTACTTCAGCCTCATTCACCCTCCCTCCCTTTCATTTGTATCTTTTACATCTCTTTTAGAAGTCTCCTCCAAAAAGTCCTTCCTGACTCCCAGTCAGGTTGAATCAAATACCTTGTTGGAACTCCCAGGACCCTTTGTGTGTCCCCTTCACAATTCTGATCATAATAAACTATGAGTACCTGTTTCCCTGTCTGTCTCCCTATCAGGCTATGTAATCCTTGAGGGCAAAGGCTGCCCCCTGTATCCCCACCCCCAGCACATAGCAGATGCTCAGTAGAAAGTTGTTGAATGAATTATGATCAGGGGGAGGTGACACTTCCCAAGGTTCAATCCCAGATCACACTCACATAGTTAGATGTAATCACCAACAAAGGCCAGGTGAGCCTAAGATTGCATTAACAGTGATATGAAGCCCAGAGTAGGGGAGGTGATAAGCCTGCCCTCTGCACTAGTCAGGTTCACCTAGACAGCTATATACACCCTGGATCCCTTGGTAAGAAGAACAAAGATTGTCAAGGTGAAAAAACAGTCTGAGGATTAGCTCAAGGGCTTGGAGATGTTCTGAAAAGGAGTAGAGACTCAGATGGGGACAGGTAGGAAGAACAGATTTCATTTGATTAAAAAAAAAGGTAAAACTCCCTATGAGCCAAGGTTTCCTAGAAGTCTCTACAGTATAGGTGTGTAGACAACTAGACGTTTGCACCATAGGGACAAGGATGGCACAGGGGCAGTGAGTTCAAAGGTCCTCCATACCCAAAGGAACAAGAAACATTAACCATGTAAGAAAAAATGAACATAGTAGATTCAGTTGGGAGCCAGAGGTGTGGCCAAGTGGAGAATAGGGCAGGGACAAGCATGTGGGTTGGGTCCCTTACGTTCCATTGATGGCACGGACACTCGCCACACGGTCCTGGAAGCCATGAGCCCACAGGCTGGGCACATCATCGTCCACTATCTCCATCTTGCGGCCACTGAAAGCTGGATTCTCAAAGAGATGCAGCTTGTGATCTGGACCGTCCTGAGGGCAAGATTGTGGGGTGACACAGCTGCTCCACACCCAGCAGATGGGTCAGGGAGGCGCCAGATGCCAGAAAGAATCAATAAGTCACAAAATCGTGCCCACCCCCTATACCCACTGCAGGAGCGAAGAGACTCAGGAGATGACTCCACCTCCAAGCCCATTGCTGGAGGGAAGGGGTACTTGGGAGATTCCTCCAGAGACAGGTTACTTAGGAACTTTGGAGCCAAGATTGAAAGTAAAAGGAAACCTTTCCATCTTGCTCAGTCCCCTCATTGAACAGATGGGAAGCTGAGGCTGAGGGTAAGAGGAGATGAGAAGCTCCCCTGCATGTGCATTCCCTTTCCCTAGTCAGATTTGGAATCATCCCCGGCTTCCTTCTTCCACTGCTGTCTGAGGAGGACAGAGTTACGTGACCAGGAAAAAGGGCTTATGTGACCACTGAGTGTCAGGGAAAGGGGTGAGAGAGAAAGGCAGCATTTGTGCCCCTTTCAGGCACTGGGGAAAATGCAAGGGCAGGACCTGAACTATTTTAAAGTTACAATCTGAAGTTAACCTCTGGGCTGTGCTTCTTTGACCACACATTACTGATCTGAGACTGGACTTTGTGGCTCAGGGCCTCCAAAGGGAAGCCCAGCTACATGGCTGGCTAATTCAAGCTGTGAGCCCCGGTGTCCCACCCCCAACCAGATCCCGTTCAGTAGCCCACTTCTTCGTGTTCCACATGATCATTTAGATCAGAAACACAAGTGCCCTTCCCAGGTCAGGTCCATATTGGCCAAGCTCTTGGCCCGGCATGTAAAATGAGCTTGTTTGACTGGCTCTCAGCAGGCCCTGCTCTTAAAACTCCTAGGAGTGGGCAGAAGCCAAACTCACAACAGGCAGAGGCCGGAGGGACAGGAGGCTGTCACTGTTGTAACTGTTGGACCAAGCATCCCAGCGAGGGTAATCTCCCTTCTCCAAGACAAACTGCTCTCCACGGAACGCCCTGCGCTCAAATGCCAGCCACCTGTGGGAGGAAGAGGCTGAGTCATATCCAGTGTAGTTGAGGGAGGACCCAAGTTTAGTGAGGACATTTGACCTTGGACTTCTCTCCAACCCTACTACTGATTCCTGGACCTGTTATTGAAGGAGCTACTAGGACGGTCAGGAACTGTCTGAGTCCCCTAGGTCATGTTATTGAAAATCTACATGTGTGCATGGTGCTGGGAACAGTCCTTAGCACAAGGCAGGCATATCATAGTGAGTGTTCTACAGTATTCTTCTTTTCCTCCTCCTCCTCTTCCTTCTTCTTTTTTGCCTCCTACACTCCACCTCCCTTCTCCTTCCTCTCCATATTATATTGTCATTATTATTTATTTATGCCATCACTCCATCTATTTTCACAAAAACTTCTGAAGCTTGTGACTTTGACAAGGGTGAAGAAACTTGCCCAAGATCACCCAGATGATTTAGTGCCAGAGTCTGGACTCTCAGTCCAAAGATGAAAATTCAGAGCCCAGCCGGGATGCCTGTTTTCCTTCTGGATATGGAGGGGACACTTAACGACTTTGGTCTCAGTTTCTTTGTCTATAAAATGGGAATAGGAATGGCACCTCTCTCATAGGGTGCTTGTGAGCATTTAATGATATGATCGTAGGCGTTCTAATTATTGTTAAAGTTATACACAGAGGGTGCCAAAAATGGATACACAATTTAAGAAAGGAAAAAAGTGTATTAAAATTGTAATACCCAATATATATTGATAACAAAAGATGAATACAAGTCCACATTTGAGCACCTCTTATAATCACAGAAGTCAAATGTGACTGGGGTATTAAAATTTTAATACAGATTTTTTTCCTTTCTTAAAATGTATATACCTTTCCCCCCCAGGACCCTCTGTATATTAAGTCCCATTTTCTAGTCCCAGAGCTAGGTGCTGGGTTGCCTTCCTATGTTCTCTTTCACGGTTCCCTGCTATTAATCACAAAAATCCAGAGCTAGAAGGGCTGCATGAGAAATCGCACGCAAGTCATCATTTTACAGATGGGGATGCTGAGCCCAGACAGGGGAAGGGAGCTGTTGCAGGCCCCACAACAGATGCAGAGCTCGAACTCAGACCTCATACTCCCGGAAAGCTGAGGAGGGGCTGGGGCGTGGGGTCTAGGTACTCACGGCCCGGACTCCACTTGGATGGAGCCCACCTTCTCCAACAGGCTGTCAGTTAGGTTGGGGCACTCGGCTGAGAGCTCGCATCGCTTGCCTTGGAAGTTTTCTAGTTCATACACGACCACCTGGAAAAACAGCATCCTAACCATCCCACCCCTGCTGGGTTCCCAGATCCTATCGCTGCCCCGTGAGGGCGCAGTGTTCACCTGCTCCGAACAGTCTGCAAGGTACCAGCCCTGTGCCTGCACCATGCGGTCCTGCACTGCCCTCTGGTGGCCATGGAGGGAAACGCCTCCAGGAGCCTCAATTAGACCGATTAACCAACCGCAGGATGGCAACTTAAATAATTTTGACAAGAGCCAGGTGAGGAACCTAAGACCTGAAAGGGAAATGATGCCGCTCTGTCCATAGAGAATGAAGCACATTTCCACATTTTTCAAGAGACGCCAGAAATCTATATTCTCTTTAATTTGAGATTTCTCTATTAAACAAAAGCCCTGTGCAGGACACATGAAATGGCTGTTTGCAAAATCTGCGTTGACCTTCACCTGCCCCAGTCCCAGGAAGGAAGGAAGGGGCTGCAAAGGCAGACCAAGGTTTTGCTTATTTCACCCACCTGAGAGAACAAACTGTTTTTGTAGAAGGTCCTGGGATGTATCTGTTCTGGTCATTTTATCAAAGGAATGCAAGAAGCTCAGAAAGGGTAAGACACTTGACCCAGGTTGCACAGGGAGTTAAATGCAGGCAACAAGATTTGATAAGTCTTTTGGTTCCTTTACTCTCCACACTGGCTTGGACAGGGAAGGGCCCACAGGAAAGTCAGGAAAGGATGACAGTGAGTCCCCAAGAGAAAGCTGAGGGTCCATAGCAAGGCTTGCCCAATGTCGCACAAGAGCCAGGCTTCTGCAGCCCCCCTTCCCAGACTCCTCCCCTTACAGCCACTAGAACATCCTCAGAAATGTCCCTGCCCCATTTATGGCTTTAGTCAACCCATCCTCAGACCTCATCCCAAATGGTTTTTCAAAAGCCCCTGACAGGGTTTAGAAATGGCAGGGCCCGCACATTCAGATGCTTCTTCAGATTTCTCATGTGCCTCCCTCCATCAGCTGTCCTTACTGAGGGAACTGTCTCTTAGCCCCCAGCCAGCTCTGGGCATGAAGGAGTAGGAGCATCATCCTCATTGTAAAGATGGAGACCTGAGGCTCAGGTAGGACAAAAAACTGGGCTGAGGCCAGGCAGGAGGGTCAGAGCTCAAAGCCATGTCTCCTGAACTCCCAGGTCTCTGCGCTCTCTGGAGACAGGTAGGATGTCAGTGACCAGTTCCATTTTGCAGTCAAAGACACGGAAGAGGGAAGATGCTGCCAATTCTTGCAGTAGGCTTGGAGCAGAGGGGTGGCAGTGAAAGGACCCACCCGGAGTGGTTTTCTCCTGGCCCAGCCAGCTGGACAAGCTGCTGCTTTTTTCTGGAGAAAGGCCACCTAGCCAGGGAGCTGACCCTGAAGCCCAGGAACAGCCCTGGGCCTGGACTCCCTGGAGCCCCTCCTAGTACCTTGTAGGTGCCCCCAAGGCCTCCATGACTCTTGCCAGCTGCTGCCTGTTCCGGTGCTCCATGTTGTTCTGCCATCTTCCCAGACACCTCTGGCTTCAAACCAAAAGAAAACAAGTCACCAAGTCCACATGGAAGAAACGTTGTTATGATTGGAGGTGAGGATGAGCTACAGAACCTTACTGCCTATAAGGTACGGCCATTGCTCATGATAACATTCAGTCATTCAGTCATTCAACAAACAGCCACTGCGTACCTGCCACAGGCATGCAGACTTGGAGTCAGTGGGATCAGGATCCCCAGTGTATAGAGAATCCCAAGGTTCAGCAAAGTGAGGACACTTCCCTGAGGCACACAGTTAAGTGGCCAAGATTGGGCCTGATTCCAAAGCCCATGCCCTTCTCCCCACACTCCACTCCTTCCCCCAAGCTAGGGTTCTTGGGGCTTTCTGCAGATGTAGCACCTCTGGACCATGGCCAGGCGGGTGGGCTTGCAGGGGGTTCCTCTGCAGGGCTCTCCTCCTATCCATACTCCAGGCAGTATAGTCTTTTGTTCACTCATTATTTGTTCAGCAAAGATTCTTTGAGCACCTTCTCGGTGCCAGGCCCTGAGCTGGGTGACCAGAATGGACGGGGGACCAGAGGAGGTAGGAGGTAGACATGGTGGGAGGTAGACAGACAAATATCTAGAGACCAGGTCCTCAGGCACCTGCTCCAGCCTAGTTATGTGCATTTCAGTTATCATTCCATAAACATTTATCAAGCACTTACTATGTTTCAGCCACTTTCAGAAGCACAGACATAGACAGCTCCTTATCACCACTATGGGGAGAGTGACATAACACAGGCCCCTGCAGTAGTAACTTGGAGGATTTTCAATGATTGTTGCACACATGGATACACACAGGACTGTTCTACTTATTGTATTTATTAGCACGTACACATGCATACACTTACACACTCACACAAGCTCCCATTACTGAATCACACCCCACCCATGGGTACACGGGACAGCTTGCTCTCTCACACACGCACACACACACATCCTTGCCCATTTAAGACATCCATCATGATTCATAATGAACCCACATCTACACCCCCCACCCAACAGTTACCCCACAGCTCCCCGCCCAGCCACTGGGATACATAGACCACTGTCTGTCCAGCCTCAGTAGGAAACAGGGCTTGCACCAGATTATGGGCTCCCCTCAGGGAACCTGGCAGGTTCCAAGTTTGTCCACTTCCCTCCCATTGAGCTGCTCTGTCTTTGGACTCCCCTGCCCCAAGCACATGTTCAGGGCTCAGACCCTGGCCACCACCCTCTGACATGCAGGCTGTGTGGGTCCCTAGCTCCACCCCTACCTGGGCTCAATGGCTGTCTGGATCCTCTATCTTGGCCTCGACCCTCAATACCCCCATAGTTTTTGCACATGCCATGGAGACCACCAACAATTTGGGTTTTCCACGGCAGTGCTCCCCTTCCCAACTCCCACCTGTCCCAGAATGAACCTGTTGCTGTAGCCTGGGGAAGCACAGAGAAGCCACGGCCTTCTGCAGACTCGGCCTGCCTCGCAAGGAGCATCCTATTTATGGGCGCTTTCTGACAGCCCAGCACATCCCGGCCTGCTGAGGCAGCGCCCTGTCCACCCAATTCTGTTCAGGCCATTTCACTCCAATAGCAGGTCCAGGGAGGCCCCAGTACTTGTCTCCTCAGCCATGGCTTCTGATGACTTCCTGGGGGCAGATGGACCTCATTGGCTTTGTAGGAAGCTGGACAGTACTGGGCAGGGTCATCAGGGTGTCACCTCTACCACCAATTCCCTTCCTTTCTCAGTGCCACCATCTTCCTATTGGGGGATGTGACACCTTCGAGGGACCCCAGAAGCCCTCCATTTTTCTTGTGCCACATGGCTTAAATTTCAAGTCAGATCACCCTTAAAGATACTCTCCAAGTCGTTTTCAAAGGATGCTGTAACAGACCCAAAGAAGATTTATTTTGTGCATATAAAAAACTTCTACAAACAATAGCTACTATTTATTGAAGACCTACGACGTGCAAGGCACTGTGCTAACTTCCTGAACGTCATGTTTAATCCTCATGAGCCACCTTTAGGGGAGAAATTGTGACCTTCATTTCATAGGTGGAGAAACTAAGTAGAGACAGGTGAACACACGGGGTGGTGGTGGGGGTGCTGGCCTGGGCTCTTAGCCTTAATAGAAATAAAGGTGATCATGATGGTCATCTATTTATGCACCCCCCCAAAAAAATAGTGGGTCTAGGCATCTCTAAAGCACCTAACAAAGTATAATTTTGCCTCTAACAGGTACTTAATAAATGATCATTGAATGAATAAAATGATGATGGAGCAAAGGAAGGAACTGTTAAGCAACAAGGTTTTTCTTTGTTGTTGTTACTCGTTTTTGGCTGAAGTTCTCAAGTCAGCACAGAACTCAGTTTTCCTGCCTAGAGGGTGAGGGTGGTGGAATATGGGGTGACACCCGGATTCTGGAGTCAGATCTTAGGTGTTACTGTAGGGCAGAGCTGCAGGCCCATCACTTGTCAGTGGAGAACTTCTCTCCATCCAAGCCACAAGGAGATCACGTAAGCAAAGCACTCAGCACAGTGCCTTTATGACTTTTATTTCAAGGATCCTGCCTATGTTGATACTTCAAATCAAGTGCTACATCCTGGTGAAGCTCATGCAAAGTAGAGCTGGTTTGGACCCCTTCACTCAGGGTGCAATGGCCCACAACTGGGGTGATGGGGTGGAAGGCAGAGGTGAGCATGGCATGGCTCCTCCATCATGTCCTTGAGGATCCTGAGGACCTACTATGTGCTCGGCACTTGCACGTGCCCCATACCCTATATCCAAACTTCCTAGCCTCAACACCACTGCCACTTGGGGTGTGTAGGGGAGCGGAGAGCTTCCCTGGGCGTTACAGGACGAATGGCACCCCTTGTCTGCACTTACTGATGCCCGTAGCATCTTTGCCCCTCCCTGTGATAAGCAAAAATGTCTCCTGTCATTGCCAGATGTCCCCCAAAAGGTATAATCCAGCCAGTTGGGAACCACTGCTTTAAACTCATACCCACTAATGTCACTGCTGCTACCCCCACTGAGAACCAGTGCTTGCTGGCCACGGTGACAGACACCTGTAGTGAATACTTTAGGCGGCTGAGGCAGGAGGATCACTTGAGGCCAGGAGTTTGAGATCAGCCTGGGTGACACGGCAAGACCTCATCTCTACAAAAAATTTAAAATTTAGCCAGGCGTGGTGGCACATGCCTGTAGTCCCAACTAGTTTGGAGGCCGAGGCAGGAGGATCGCTTGAGCCCAGGGATTTGAGATTACTGTGAGCTCTGATCAGGCCACTGCCTTTCAGCTTGGGTGACTGAGCAGGATCTTGTCTCTTAAAAAAAGAAAGGAAGGAAGAAAAAGAGAGAGAGCGAGATCTCACAGCCATGAGATGCTGGCAGCAGAATAAGGATATAAGCACTTGTCAGTCTCAATGGAAATCCTGTCTTGTTTCCATGGCCTCCAACTCTGGATAGACACCTTCTCCCGGGACCCCGGCTATGCCCTCCAGCTGCCCCACCACAGCTCAGCAGAGAGACTGACTCAGCCAGTAGCAGGCAGGGCTTGCATGCACAGGACACTCCGTTCACTCATTCACACGTGGACGCATCGACTTCTCCTGTGTAACTTGCTTCAAAACTTTATTTGCTATTTCCATAGTCTGAATACAATGTCTCTGTACATGCAGAAGTCATCTTGCTTTACTGCAGTCAACCAGACTTCTGACTGCTCTTCTGTGCATAGGGAACCTTTTATACAAAATATAAAAGCACTTGTCGACATCCAATACTCTGTGAGGTCCCGAAGCCCCCATTTTTTACATTAAAAATATAAGTTTTTCAAGATGAACACGGTTAGAGATTTTTTTCTGGGATTGGATAAAGTGCCTCTCTTCTGCCTTCCATTCAGAACTCCTAGGGCTTATGAATTCATAAGGCAATTGTAAGAACACTGCAGTCTGGAAGCTTAACTTTGCTACACGCTGAACTCGAGTCCTTCCTCTATCATGACTCAGATATCTGAGGAAGAACCCTGAAGGCAGGTTAGGAAAATATATACTATATTTATATATATTTCCATCCCCCCACCCCATCTTACAAAGCATGTGGAGGGTCATAATTATCAGGGAAGTGCAGGACTTGTGGGATTTAGGAAACAGCACAGTACAAAATATCTTCCATAATACAATATATTACTTTTGTGAGCCCCCTATTTACAAGATCTATAAGGCTATGTGGGATGAGATCATTAAAAAGCTCAAATTCTTCTTTAGACACAGCATAGTTTTTAGCTGGCATGATGCCACCAGAGATTATCAAGAAGCTGCCAGTCTGAGGCCTGGAGGATGTTACAGGACAGGTGTGAGGGCAACTATTTAAGGATATTCTGGGATGGCAAAGGGAACAGGCTGAGAGGTATTACTGTTAGGGGTTAACTTGCCAGAGACCTCAAGGTGACTTTCCAAAGAAGAGGGCCTGGCTTTCTACCCGTCTGCCTCTAGAAGCCAAAACAAAACAAAAAAGGGGGGGGGGCAGAAATCTCTAGAAGGGGGAAGATACAAAAAAGACCCAGACTGGTGCAGACCTGACGCACTCATGCTTCCTGGCACTTTGTGGTTCTAGGTTTCCAGAGCCTTGGCCTGCCAGGAATTCCAACAGGGTGACTGCTGGTGGCACCTCGGCACAGAGCAAGTGTCCCCTTGTGGACGCGGAGTGCATCCTGCCTCCTTCCAGTGCTTCTCTGCATGTCGGTAGTACCACCCTCCTACCCACAAAAGCATGATGCCGGGGGCTCCGGCTTTCGTGTTTTCACATGGTGGAGGGGAGGAAGGCACACTGAGAGGCCACAGAATGTCTCCCCTTCACTCCAGTGACTTGCCACAACTCAAACGTCTGAACGGTAGAGAGAGGGGTACATTAACTTTGCCTTTGCACGTAGTTCCCAGAGCCATGATTTAAAAAAAAAAAAAATTGTTTTAAAGAACAGCTCGACCAGGCAGCCATCAGCATTGGGTGAGAGGAGCTGTGGGCTCCTTTAGGAAAATCATGCTGAGGGCTTTTCTAAATCCCATGCTCGGCCTCCAAGGGTTAAGTCCTTGGGCTTATGCCTATGCTTGTTCTCACTCCTGATGGATACCTGAAAGTTGGCCTCACTTTTAGAGAAGCAGGAAGGACAATACCTTTGACTGAAAGCACATGACTTGGCTTGACACACCCCCCCCCCCGGAAAACATCCTTATTGGATTGTCCTTTATCTGAATCCTGGAAAACCTGCGGCTGCCAGGTCAGCTTCACTCAAAACCCCAAATGTCCTAAATACCACAAGGTTTCCCTTGCACTGGAATTTCTCTGGTGGCACTGATTCTCCCCAACACTGATTTTTGAGATCTCACCATGGAATTTCACAGGCCAAAAGCCTGTTTCATTAGGCAAAGGGCCAGGAAGAAGCTTATCTACTGGAGGGGAAAAGATACAGACTAAGTAAAAGACCAGCTGTCGAAATGCTGATGCACAGAGGGGCAGGGTGGGGCGGGGAGACTGTACATACACAGGGGTTTGCATTCTGTGTAAGACTCATCTGTCGGGAGCCAAAGGCCCAGGGAGGAAGGTGACTTGATTGCACACGGATATTAAGGCATATTTAAGTGAGTTTAAAAGAAGACAGATTTCCAAAGGGGGCTCCAGGTAAACTCGAGAAACTAGCAATCAACCCCTTGCTTAGCCCCAAAGAGCTCCCCCAGTTCAGAAAGAGGAGAAATAAATAACTCACGGGCCCAACTCTCTGCAAAGGCTCCAGAGTACCAGCCCCTTCTGGCCTCATTGTGTCGATCATGAACAGGGCCCAGAGGTCATGGGAAGCTGAATTCAGAGGATCACTCCTGACCACTGCCATTGTCTGCTTCGCGGTGCTGGAGGGATAAGGTTGCAGAAAGTGAAAGGAGGTGAAGAAGACTTTCTGGGCTTGTCCTAGTCATTTTCAAAGCAGGGACAGACTTTGTATGTCCTCATCTACACGGAATTGATCAAGGTGTGAGACGTTAGGCGGAAGACCTTTTTTCTTTCCTGTCAGGTATTCTTGGACTAGAACACAACTAGTTGAGAAGAGAGAATTTTGCAGGCTGCGTATCAACATATTAAGAGCAGGTCCCTTCCTCCCTACTGCCTGAGGTGGTACCAAAGGGCCCTTCCCACCCAAGGGGAAGACCGCAACCAGGAAAAGTGGTCAGACCTCCCCCCTAAAGGGAGGTCCCGCTGATGTGGAAAGACATCACATTGCAGTTGTTATAAAACATTAATTGAATCTTTAAAAAATGTTAATGGAAGCAGTTCTTAGAAGAATTAAATCCCCAAATGGCCAAGACAACTGACCAACCCCTAGTGCAGTGAATGAAGAGGGGGCCAAGCAGGGCCAAGCGCCCAAACCCAGATGTGTGAGGCTCCCAGACACAAGGCTGGGTGCAGATAGGGCCAGCACACCACCCACGGGGAGGTGGGGCCGGGTCCCTGCGGGTGCTGTCCCTGGTGCTGAAACACAGCCCCACACCAGGACACAGGTGTTCATCTTAACCTAGAGAAAAACAGGACTGCTCTCCACCTCTACCCACTCTTCAAGAGAGAGAAGAGGAGGTACAAGGAGGCAAGACGAATGGAGACTCTTGGAGAAGTGGCCAGGGAGACAGAGCATGTTTTGACACCATTTGCAAATAATGGATTTATCAAGAAAGACTTTGATCTCTTGGGAAGTGGGGGTGAGGAAGGAGGAGGGCACAGGTGCCTCCTACTTCCATATCAGGCTAGCAAATTCAGCCCTAGGGCTCCTCAGAAATCACAAGCTGCCCTCATGAACTGTCCAAGCAGCTCACAATGGGCGTCTCCCAGGCAAGGTTGGCACAAAGATTATGGCAACTCCAAGCACGGCATGTGGCCAGCCAGGCATATCTGGGATGGTTGTTGCAGCCTGTGCTTTAGAAGTGAGAAGGCTGGTACTAAGGATTTCCCAAAGGGCCAGGCAGAGAGTATCTGAAGCCCCCAGAGGTCTTGGAGAGTTCCAGTAATGAGTTTATAGCTAACAAGAAAAAAGAAGTAAGGCAAGACTAATGCCTCATCATCTACCATCCTGCACTTCGGCCCAGAATCCCTTGCCTGGGGGCTCCCCTGCAAAGAAGGTCTTCCATTAAGACTTGCATCTGAACCAAGAAAAGTGGGTGAAGTCAAGCACAGAAAAAATGAGGTGAGAAGAAACAAAAAGTACCCCTCATTTGTGCATTGGTTCTGAGGCCAATTTGGAACTGCCAGCAGGCCAGGTTGTATTAAAAAAAAAACTGTAAAGAGAGAAGGTCCCTAGGGCAAGTTTGATGTTAAGTGGCAAAGGCACTGCCATTGGGGCTGCAGTTTAGGAACCCTTGAGGCCAAGGGACAAAGGTCGCTCCACAGAAATCAGAGCTCCAATGAAGAGAAACCAGGAAAATATATGCAAGAGTGACAATTAAAATTCCTAAAATGCTTAGATAGGGACTAGATAACCTGAGGTGATTGGATACTTCAAAACAAACTATTCACACATCTTTCTTCCTGTCCTTTAACGTAAAAACATATATATATATAAAGTTTCAAAGAAAATTGGCTGAATTATTGCTTTATCGCCTTCTAAAGCAGACAAAGGTGACATTAAATGACACAGATCAACTATGCACATAGCCCTACTAGAAGGATAAATACTCTCCAAAGCATTGGGGAAGGTTTAAAAAGTGGAATTGCTGATTCTTTGAAGAGAAGAAACTTGCCCCCAAAAGCAGTCAAAACCCGCATCCTGGTGGTAATGCCTTGGACCAAGACTACAGCAGGAAAGGAACCATTTGATCTTCCTTGGAAATGTTCTTCCAAAAATCACGTGCACTGGGGTGGGGTGAAGAGGTGCTTTCACAATCCAGGTGTTTTTCAGAATCAAAGGAGTCGGTCCAGCCTCTCACTGTTTCCTGAGGGTGCCGAAGGTGTCATAGTTGGTAGAAATGCAAATTTTCACATAAAAAGCAAAACCACCCACATAGATGTTCGGGGGCAGCCTGGCTTCCTTCTCAGTCAGAAGTGCTGTCTGGGGAGGTGAGCAAACGCTTGCAGAGCGTGGGTCTTCCTGTCTGGATGTGGGGAGGGCTTGCCAGGGCCAGGGGGCCACTGGACGGTGTCCTCCACCCAACGGGAAGGGCCCAGGCACGGAAGGAAGTGTGGTGCAGGAAGGAGCGGCAGCAGCTCGGCCTCCTCTGTAGGTTCTGATGGTTAAGGCTTCTGTTAATTGGACACGTGGCAGAGCCCCCTGTCTGGAGAGGAAGGGATAGTCCTGGTGTCAGCAGCAGGAACATTTGTCCTCATTTCTCTCTACTATCATACCTTATACCCTTTCTGATATGCTCTAAGAATGGCATCCTCAGAAGCCCAAGGCCAGGAAAGAAACTCTGGGGGGCAGGCGGTAGGGGAAGGTAAGGGGTGAAGGCAGCCTGACACAGGAATGAAGGTGAAACTTAAGGTCAGGCCAGGGTTCCAGTCTCAATTCTGAGCCTCAGTTTCCTCAAATGGGTCACTGGAGGCCTGAATGAAATATGACATGTACTGAATTAAACACAAAATAAATACAAGTCCTGATCCCCTAACCAAATCCCTTGAGCATAGATTTATTTGCAAATTTACAATTTTTATATTCAAGTCACGTATGACTTCTGGAATTGCAAGGTGTTCGGTGGGACTCATATTCATCTGCTGTTCTCAGTACACACTGAGTATTACAATTTTAATACAGTTTTTCCCTTTCTTAAAATGTGCATATGTGTTACATGATGTTTTTATATATTTATGGGTTCATCTGAACAAATTATACAAATTATATGAAACACCCCCATAATCGAGCATACAATATATACCCACAATGTACTATAAATATTCATATAAAGTGGAGAAAATAGAGTCTAAATACATTACATCCACTCAGGTCAGGTTTTATCACCAGATAAGTTATAAAAAGAGGTTTTCAGAGCTTTTTGGAGTGGGGGTTTGTGGATAAGGGATGGTGAGACTCTGATGCTAATCTCGTCAGTGCTGGCTCTGAGGGTGCATATGCTGTCTGCTCCACGTGAATGTAAACAGGCAGAGCTCAGTGAAGACTTTAGGCACCTTCTCAGCGGGCTCTGGGGACCCCTCTGCAATGTGGGCACTGCTCACCCATTTTACAGATGAAGAAGCTGAAGTTCACACAATGTTAAGTCATTTGGGATTTATACCAGGGCCTATCTAATCACTTGATTTTTTTAATATGTATTTTTCACATTAATTTTTAATTACACAGGTAGTACATGAATACATTCCCCATGTGAAAACTGGAACATTTCAGATGAAGCTAACCTCTGATGTCTTGCTTTTCCACTCTCTAAAGAGGGAATGAGATGCAACAAGAAACACAGGCCAGACGCAAATAAATCCAAAGCCTGGGCCATCTGATTCTTGGCCTGGTGCCTTTTTACCCACCCACTCCAGGCTTCCCAGCTCTGTCCCTGGATGGAAACAGATGCTCACCTCAGTATAGGCACTCAGAATCCCACTTCACCCCACACTCCCTGCCCCCAAGTTCCCAGGTCTCCCTGCAGAGCGCCTTTGTACCTACCTGGTCAAACTTGATTCTCATAAAGGCTTTGCCTCTTCTTGGATTTCAACTCCTTTAGCCACTGGGGAGAGGGCTCGTCTGACCTGAAACCACAAGGCCAGTGAGAGGCAAGTGTGTGTCAGACTGGGGGCTCCTGCAGGCAGGGCTATGTGGTGCCTGGCTCTCTATCCCTGTGCCAAGGCATGGGCTGGACCGAGCACTCAGAGATGCAAAGATGCCCATGTAGACGTGATTAGTAATAGGGAGAAACAAGCCATAGTGTCCAACCAGGGGGAATGTCATGTAAATCATGACCTATCCCTTCTATGAAATAATCTGCAGCTATAAAAATTCGTCTTATATAAAATTACTGCCATCCATCCATTTGTCACCCACATAGCTGTCTATCCTTCTGTCTCTAACCGAGGAAATGCCTGCAATGTGTCAACTTGGCTAGGCCACAGTACCCACATATTTGGCCAGACATTATTCCAGAATGTTTTGCTGAAGGCACTTTTTTCTTAGATAAAATTAATATTTAAATCAGTAGGTGTTGAGTAAAGCAGGTAGCAGGTTGCCTTCCAAAATATAGGAGGGCCTCATCCAGTCAGTCGAAGGACTTATTAGAAAAAGACTGACCTCTCAGGAAGAACAGAGAATTCTTCCAGGAGATAGCCTTTCAGATCCAAATTGCAACTCCAGGCTGACCGCCAGGCTGCCGGCTTAATCTGCAGATTTGGGACTAGCCAGCCTTCACAACAGTATAAACCAGTTCCTTCACGTCAATCTCTCTGCGTATCTGAATGTATGGGGATGTGTGTCTCTGTGTGTGCATACCTTCTGTTTCTCTAAAGAACTCTGAATCATACAAATGCCCATAATACACAGAAAGATACCTTTTGTTTACTCAATGTTAACAATGCTTGTTTTGTGGAGATGAGATTTTTCTTAACTTTTTAAAACTGAAGAACACAAAGTACTCAAATCATATGCGCACAGCTCAGTGAATTTTCTTAAAGTGAATCCATCTGAGTCACTACTACCTAATTGGTAATATTTTTGAGATGTGTTTTTTACTTTCTACTTGGTAGTTTTCTGGGCTCTCAGAATTTCTTATAAATGAGAACATCATTTTGACAAAACAATAGTCATCGCTCTTTAAAACTTTATTCGAGAAAATATCATGCTTTGGAAGACTATTTACTTCCTTTTTTTTTTTTAGTTTTTGGCCGGGGCTAGGTTTGAACCCGCCACCTCCGGCGTATGGGGCCGGCACCCTAATCCTCTGAGCCACAGGCGCCGCCCCCTTTTTTTCTTTTTTCTTTCAAGATTGTTTACTTTCTAAGCGCTAGAGAATGTTTACCTATACCATGTAGAGGAATAAAAGCTGCTCACCCTGGCTGTAATCTCAACTATGTGGAAAAAAAAAGAAGGACTGGCAGATCCCTGAATGTTGACAGTAGAGGTCTTTGCAGGATAGGATTATGGATGAATTTCTTTTCTGCTTTATAATTTTATGTTTTCTAAAGTTTCACAGAGAACATGTACTGCTTTGATAATCAAACGCACGAGCACACAGGACTTGACTTATTTTGATCTCAGAGAAAGTTCCTGACCTCATGGCCCTGTAGAGCTCAGGGAAACTGCTGAACTGGTTGGGGGTAGGTTGGGGGTAGGTTGGGGGTAGGTTGGGGTGGGAGTCTGTGGCTCAGGGGAAGAAGGATGAGGTGATTCTGGAGCTGTAGGAATGGGCCTTGAACTGCTATGCTTACCACCCTAGGAAAGAGGAGGGAGGGGGCGTCCTGGACAGACTCTAGAATACCCCAGGGGTTAGCCAAACCTTGCCTAATAGTAGCAGCACAAGCCTAGATCTCCAGAGAAGCCTCTGAGGCCCTCGTCTGGGGGCTCCTCCAGCCACAGAGAAACACGACTGCGCTCAGCTGACTCTGGAGCCAGTCCTGCAATTCTGATATCTCAGCTGTGGCCTGTCTCTCTCTAGTCTCTTCCCTTTTGCTTTCCACAGCCCACTCTGTGCTCTGGCAACATGCACTGTCTGGGGCTCCCAGGGTAGACCAGGCCTCTCTGGGCCTTTACACACACTGTGGCTTCTGCCTCGGATTCCCTCTCATTGCCCCTCTGTCTGGCTAAGACCTAACTATTCATCATGACTCAGATCAAGCGGAGATACTCTTGAAAGCTTTTTTGGGCACCTTTCCTCCTATCTCCATCCTGACCTCTTCTTTGATTGCAGGGGTCAAAGAAAGAGCCGGGTAGCAATTATTTTGGAATTTGTGGGCTAGAGGGTGTCTGCTACTACTGTAGACATGTTATTCCTGCTCCATGGTTCATGTGAACATTCTGCAGTTCCAATATGAAAGCAGCCACAGACAACGCACAGATGCATGGCGTGGCTGTGTTCCAATGCAGCTTTGTTTACAAAACCTGACAGTGAGCTGGATTTGGGGGGTCTGCCAGCCCCTGCTCTGTCACAGCACTTATTAAAACTTTAGTATCGGGCAGCGCCTGTGGCTCAAAGAAGTAGGGCGCCAGCCCCATATGCCAGAGGTGGTGAGTTCAAACCCAACCCTGGCCAAAAACTGCAAAAAAAAAAAAAAAAAAGCCCTAGTATCATGAACAGCCCCGAACGTTTACACATTAACAGTACTCATAATAAGAGTTCCACTCTCCTTCAGTGGTGCTTCCACAGGCGAGGGCCCACGGCAAGGGAATTACACACATCCCTTTTTTGTCATCACAACCACCTCAGAAGGTTAGTAAATCCATTTTGTAGATTAGAAAACTGAGGCTCAGAGTGACTCTTCTCAGGTCATGTGGCTCTTAAGTGGCATAGCTGGAATTAAACCCCAGGTTTGTGACCACAAGTTCCATGTTCTTAACCTCCACCCCAGCTGCTGAGACCCCCAGGCTGAGAGGCCAGCAGGGCAAGAGCTGGCCTGTACTCATTTCTGTACTGGGTGGGCCTAACCCGGACAGGGCGGCTGCTCCACAAAGAGCAGCTGAGCTGAGTGAAATCTATCTCATTCAACCTGGCAGTGTCCTTTGATACACCTCTGTTCTCCCTGAGACCCCAAGACAAATAAACTTCCCTGGAGGGAAAGAGGTTGGAGGAAGCCTCGGTTTCCCCATCTGTCTGGAGAGAGAAAAACCAGATCAGTAGTTTTCCAACAGCTAAGCCCTGGTTTTCGGCATAGGAGATGGCAGGTAGAGGGAAGAAGGGAGGCTGGCTGACCTCAATGCCAGCCTCATTCCCTACCTCTGTTGTATTTTTTATAATGCTGAGAGTTCACGTAAACAAACCCCTGTTGTTAGAGAAAAAATGAAGTTGAAACTCTCCTTCATTTACCTCCAAAAGTTACAAACATCTCTTAAAAGTCCAGCCTCAGTTTGGGAGGGGAGGAGCCCCCTCTCCCCAAGACCCCCCTCACCTCTTGTCCTTCTCCGCGCTGGAGGGCAGCACGCGACTGCTCAGCACCCCAGGCTGGAAGGGGGACTTGGGGGCCTTGGGCTGAGGGGCCCAGTTGGTGGCTTCACCAGGACTGTCCACCTCTGGCCTCTTGTGCAGCTGAGCCTGGGGAGAGAAGAGAGCTGAGTCTATAAATTGCCTTTTGTCTGGGGAAGGGCCCCATCCAGTGACATTGTCGGGCTTGGTGAGCCCTCTGCAAGCATAGGGCCCCCTGAGTCTGAATGGACTCAGGCAGGAAACACAAGGGCTGAGAAAAATGAGAAGTTAGGCTGGTGTTCCAGGCAGCCACCCTGGACCATCAAGATCAAACAATCACCCCAAATTCACAATCACGCTCTCTGGCACTAAAAAGCCACTTTCGCAGTGGTCTCGGCACACAGTGTACCGCTTCCTTTATCTTCCTGACAGTCTACAGGGCATCCCAGACATTGCCCATAAGAGTCGCCATATGGAAGGCAAATGGAAAAAACGGTACAAAATTTTACAGAATACTCTCTATGTGTTATCCATCTCTTTGTAAAATTTCATCATGAATATTTTGTAAATAAAGGTACATTTAGTTACAATTTCCCATTTTCCCTATGTATGGCGAATTTATGGGCAATGTTTGGGTACCCTGTAAACGAAGACAGTTGAAGGTTC